CATCTGAAAGAAAACTCAAGTTCCGCTACGGAAAGTGAGTATGGATAAAGTGAAAGATAGTGAATTTTAGTTCATTTTTTATTCAAAAATGAGCTCCAGAACTCTTCCTAAGCAGACTTTCAGTCCTTTGTCGACGGGCTTTTATTTCACTTTCTACTGATTGCGAATAAATCAGCTTCAAAGGCGTTATCCTTAGAGTACCTTGGAGCTGGAATCCAGAACGGTGTACTCAGCACCTTTCGCGACTGTATTATTCCTCGGTTGCCCAGTCGTAGTAGATGGGTTAATGGTATCTCATCCTAACTTTCTGATCTGGATTACACTTCCAGCTCGAAAGACATCAGGGTTATTCCAGAGAAGCTGTTGACCTGTCGTACGGTTCATTCATCTCTTTATGAGAATCATATAAGGTAACTGAAGCACTACAGGAGCAGTGGTCTTATTTAGTGGCGGGCCGCAGTGCGGCGTAGAGACTCATGCCGTTTTTTTAGTGGAGAGCGTTAGCCAAGCAAAAACTCATCGCGTCCTCGTGCAGTGCCGTTCATCGCCTAGTACCGCTTAGTTGGTGATCCCAAGTTCACCTCATTCACGCTTAACCACCTGGTTGATGAGGATCTGGAAGCGTACCCTCTGTTATGCAACCCTGCTTACTTACACTTACACTGCTAATTCATCTGCTGCCCATTTTATGTTTGGTTTTCCTGAATAACACCAATCCGGGTGTCAAGTTATAATTTGGTGCCTAAGGACTCCTCGGATCGATTTAGCGACGCTGATCTGTTTTGGATGTCACTGTATACTCTGCCTGGGAAACTCTAATTATTCTATTTCACCTGTTCGCCGAGCCTGGCAATTTGTTTGCAAACAGGCGAAATAGAATTCGGTTCACCCGAGCTACGAGAACCAATTTTCAATACTTGTCAAATCTTTAATTATGTTGAGTAATGTGCATCGTGAGGGATCTCCAATAAGTTCGGAACAGTCTTCCAGTTCATCCGGGCTAAACTTGGTCGTAGACAGCTTCTATTTTCATCCAGTTCAATAGGATATCCATGCAATCTGAACCTAATACAACTTGCTACGCTGTTTATCCAGGATATACGATTGGGCTGTTCAACTCTTTATTTCCAAAATATTCCCATTCAGTCACCAGAGAACCAGCTGTACACTAAAAACCGTGTTTCTTAACTTCATCCTTTGGTCTTTATAGTGTGGTTATACATTGAAAATTTGGTTGGTCGAAAATTTTATTTTATTTAACGCTGTGTTAGACGGTAGTAAGGACTCAATAATATTAATACACCACTCGAAAGTTATTCGGCGATCAGTTTTCGGATTTCTCAATCAATAAATTTGTACGTCTTTTTTGGCTGCTGATCAACCAGGAATGAAATAGAAAATAACAATTTACAAGTGCTCTCAAGATAGAAACACAGAAAGCAGTTAAAATTCATCAGATTATCAAATTAATCGATACAGGAACGTCACTGTTTACGATAGTCGATCATGGCATCAAGTGTCTCTAACTATCGGTTAGTTTGGTCACGGGGTATCCCACCAGGAAGATCAATGTGTCCTATACAAGCGTATTTCTTGATCTAAGTTCTCGCACCTTATGCCAATTTTTAAACTGACCATTTTTTGAGTTCTTCCAAATACTGCCTGTCGAGGAAGCCTATGTAATGACATCGCACATTCCNTTCCCCACCCGTCACAATCTGCGGAGGTCAAGCACTTGTATCAATGCGTAACCGTAACTCTGCGCTTAACCTCGGCATTACTTGTCCGGTTGTATCACTGGACTTTTGCAATGCAGCGCAGATATCGGTTTCCGAACGCTGGCAATTTATGTTCATCCTCCCCTTGCTATGGCCACGTTTCTGCACCACATAGCAGCATTTGCCGGTCAGCCGCAGCATGCACTCAACCCTCAGCTAAAGGCAGAATGTCGCGGACCAGCAAATTTATTATTGTTATCATTTTATTTAACCACCTGCGGGAGATAAGCGAGATGCCATTATTTGATCTAGATACACGTAAAGTAACGCCAAAGATGTATTGGGTTCTCAGCCCCCTGCTAAACCTTCCTTATACGTGCCGAAGCTTCATCCAACATAGATCCACCAGGAGCGATGTAGCTGCCCCATTCACGAAGTTTGTTTACCTTCTCGATTACCTCTTCCTTCAGACTGAAATTGAGACTTTGACCATCCCAATCCTGTAACAGCATTTAACGCTTTGTAGATGCTAAAAACCAACCAATCACCCAACAGTCGAACCATCCCGAAAGACTTACAATTTATTAGGATCCTCACTCATCAGTAGGATGTCGGTAGTGTGCCATATCAGACAACTTACTGCCTGAGAGGATATAAACTACAAGATGACAAGTGAAAATCTGAAATAAAGTAAATTTTTCATCAGTCTACAGCTACACTTTTACACAGCGAGAGAGAGCGGAGATGGCGCAAGGGTTTAGTCGCTGTCACCGGCGTGCTTTGGGCCCTGTGGTCCGAGGTTCGAGTCTCGCCACCGTCACCCAATTTTGGTGGTGGGCAGCTTTGCTGTAGTCCGGTTCGGTACCACGCCTAACTCATCGAGGCCTTATGTGGTTCGCCGCTGCAAGTCCCGGGGCTTAGTCTACCGGTTTCCATCACTGAACAACAGATCCTGGTGACTGCGGTTCAACCCGTCTGCTCTTTATCAAACACTGGTGTGTAATAAAAAAGTAAGGCTGTCGCGAAACGCTCTTCTGATCCACATAAATTGTGTTTCACCGAAATCATATTTGTCATCTTCAGTTTGTGCTGTTGCATGCTTTGGCAACAGAATTGCTTGTGCAGAAACTGCTTTTCGGTTGCTTGCTATGAGATTTTTTTCTGTTGTTCCTTTTTAGTTTCCCGCGACCAGGCCAGCCTATCGGCATCCGTTGAGTTGGGAGTGAAAATTGTCTTCCCACGTGGTGAGATTTATTATTGACGCTGTTCCTTGTCATTACAATGACGTTTTTCGGTGCACGAAGGCGTTCCAGAGCTGATCTGAATGATGAGACTAAGCTTCACTTGAGTTTATGGAATCTAGTTGTTAAATTGCTTCTTGCGCTGGATAAAGACTTTACTTTTTTAGTGGCATTTTTAAAATTTTCTTTACGGGGAGTATATTGACTGTGCTATAAATTACGCCGGCTAGTTCTGCAGCAATTACTAACAAGATAAACCAAATCTTGCGGTGAAGTTCTTTTCGAGGGTTGATAACGAGGACTAAACAGTCTATCTGGTATAAACATCGAATTTAGATTATTAGACTTCGCTGGCTAGGCACTTTTTGCCTATGTTACCGTCTATCACATCGCGCCTTATTTGCTGTAGCCGCTCCGGTCTGTAGAAAACTACGTGGAGGTCAATAGACGACGTGAAGATGAGGCATGAAGCAGTGCACAGACCCATTAAGTGTGACACACCTTTCAGATTGGGGTCCGAAAGACTCCGCAACTGGTTGGTTGGAGTCATTGAAGGATATGGCAGCAAACCGACGGCAGTGGCGTTCCTGTTGTCATTTCTTATCAGGTCCTAATGCTTGAGACGGTATGCATGCAGAGTTCCATTGTTTACTCTGTATGTCGACCATCGAGGTTCATCTTCTTCCCCCTTCCTCAAATTAGGTCCAACCCCCCCGTCTACCTTAAATTCTACCAGTAACCTTGTATATGTTTCGAGTTTGTCAGCGATCAATGAAGTTCGCTTCACTGTATTTCGCTGTACGATGATGATGATGACGATGATAATGACTGGACAGCTTTTTCGTCCTTTTTGGTACTCGTCAACGTTACACTAATTTTCGTCCCGATTGGGACTCAATCCGCTAACTTTCGGGCCCCCAACTTGAGACCTTTATCCTGAGCTACTCGATTGACGGTCAAGACCGGAAACGGTGTCTAGTGCATGTGCAAATTAAAGGAATTTACCAGAACATAACTATGACCCACATGTTCTTTCCGATTGTTTTGTCTGGTAGCTATCCGGTCAATTTCACCATTATGTAACGCATTGTACGACCTAATCTCTAATTTTAGCTCTTTTCTCTCAAACCCATGTTATCATATATAACGCTTCAACAACAAAATAATATGTGTAGCTCTATGCATATATTCACCAGGTCACGTCTTAACTTGTGCCTCATCCATGGCTAATACTCTGATTACTGCGAATTGCAGTTGTTTTCATATGCAGCTCGCAATTCCAGTTGGGGCATTCACTAATTTCGCTAATTGAATAAAATCGCTGTGTAAGGTGATTCGTTAGCTCTGGATATTAAGATTAACCCTTTCTGATGTTCAGTGGCCAAAGAGCAGCACTAGATCAAAATAAAATATTTCTGTTGGGGTGTAGCAGAATTTTCATTGCTCTTCATTACTGTTCCCGCAAGATTACGATTTATAGAGTTCGCCCTTTTGTCTGTTCCTTTACTTTGCCGTAAGTTTTAGTATTCCCCTTCTGTTTATCTACCATTCATCTTTCGCCCTCTTATTGTCCGCACCTAACTTTTCATTTTGCTCTGACGCGTCAGATCGTTCCACTCGGCCATCAGGGCAAACGTTCGAGGTTGGTGAGGATGTCCGTCCGCATGGGGACTCCGTCGATTGTTCTCCCGTGTCTCGACATCGCCGAACCGGTGAACTAACAAGTGATTCAGAAAACGCATGTATTGTTCGTGTCCGTCGAGCCCCCCCGGTTGCTGAGGGAACACCTAAACTGGCGTCCAAGTACTCCGAACTGACTGAGCCAATGAGGTTAGTTTGTGGATCAGTACTTCAAGCATCCTTCTACGACTTCTATTTTGACAGAATGTGTAATCCTGCAACTCGGTTTGGGGACCAAAGTTCTTTGTTGCACATTATACAGTAATCAACCTTTTACTTCAAGCGTAGGTGGGTACTACCTGTGGGGCATTAGTGAGTGATGGTTTTATTTATTGGTGAGCCAAATTCGCGATAATTTTTGCTCTCCCAACGACTTTTTGTTGCCCAGACAAGTCGGTTTCCTATTAAAACTTTACCACGTCCTCGGTTATCGGCGCTGATCGTTCATGACGGCTTAATTAGTAAAGCAATATCCACAATTGACTTTGTGGCCATTCCCTTATCGTTGGCCTAGTGATGCGCCCCGTAGAGTGCAACCCTACTGTCCATAGACTAATTCACCTACCCAATCCTCCTACAAAATAAAGTCTTATATGTGGGAATCTTTCATTTGAAAATCCATCCTGTTTAATTGATTGCGGTCGTAGAGGTTCACAATTTATTCGGAGTGGTTTCCTTTCAGTGCACTTAGGAGATTCCTGTTCGTGATCACCTGATACAAACCTGGATGCTTACTTACGATGTGCCCTGTTTACAATTATGAGACATGTGAGATGTAGTGTAGCGCACATGCCGAGGCAATGCTCACAAAGTAATATTTGACAAAAGCAAAACTGTGATGATTCCATTAGAACATACATCATGTAATCAGGTTGTGAAGATTTTCAGCCCAGTCGCCACCCTGGAGGAAGGTGTTGAGTTGCGTGAGTTGTGATGCTCTCATTAAGCTAGCAGTGATGCGTTATGCGATATGGTGTATATTCAAAATGAGAAACGGTCTGATCAGCTACCCGATGATTGAGTGGATAGCATGCTTGCATTCTAACTATAAGGTCCTTTGTTCGATCCACATTTTGGGTCGATCGGTTCTCACTGCTGATGTATTGTTATTATTATTACTATTATTATTATTATTATTATTATTATTACATGATATTTCACACTTGTCTGACGCCAGACTGTGTGTCAAACAAATAATGGTACAACAATCTTTATGAAAAAGAGAAACGTTCCACCATTTGCACATGGGCTGAATACTGCCAGGTTGCCCGGGCCGAAGGTGGATTTTCTTGAGGAATCCACAACCGGAGCCTTCAGCTAGCCAAAGCCTGACCCGCAAGGCAGCGGGGTGTTGTGTGAAACCAGCATTCCATTGGGAGCCGGTGTCCAGTTCATCGGATCATACTCCCTTTGGACGGGGTCAAATGTCCAAGGTGCCCAATACACCTCGATGTCTAATCGAGCCGGTGACCACTGTAACATCCCGGAAGGTGTGGGTGTGGTTCGTACTCCTCCTCTTGTTTGGTTTGGAATCAGGGTTTTCGGCCAAATCCCCTAGGTGAACTACCAGTGGTCCACCAACTCGGTTATAGCCCCGGATATCGGCATTTCGTCCTGTCACTTTCGTGCAAAAACACCGCCACGAAAAGGCGGTGAGTAGGACTTCCTCAGCAGAGGCTGTTTGAAACGCTTGGTCGTATGGGAGCATTTCGTGAGGCGCAAGGGAAGGGTGACCATCCGCAACCCTAGACACCCACCCCCGACCATACTGGGGCTTTCGGAGGCACTGCTGATGATACCCAACCAGTTCGAAACAGCTGTCTAATGCTTCCTAGCTTTTCAGCTCACACCTCATTCACATGATGAATTCATTACAGTTAGTTTAATTGATTTGAAAACGCCATCTGGAAGGATTGAAACGCCATCGCTGAAATATTTTCGGTCGTTTCTCCAAAAATTCCGATACAAATCTAATAAAGTGATTTGACCTATTTCCAGTTGGAGTTGAATAGATCCAATCAATTAGTTGGACACTAGCCCCGGAAATGGTACAAAATACTGGCGATACAATTTAGACAGTTCATATATATGTGACACGTAAAGCAGAGGCGCACTGTAAATGCCATTCGAATGTTATGTACCCTATTAGCTACTCAAATCAATAACCGTCGTGGCTCGAATATCCTGTAACTTAACACGAGATCCATGTATGAAAGGGATCTCACTGAAAAAACTTGGGCGTCGTGCTCATGATTATTGAGGCTTGACAAGGGCCTTCCAAGAGGGTCGAAACGTTGTCACCAACGCCTTTGTGTTTTGGTTTTCATTCGTCGTGACTAAGACACGCTAATTTCCTCAATAGTCCTGTAATCTGCTATGTGCCACGAATGGGGGAGATTTCCTAGCTCCTCTTGATGTGCTGGCTTCCATTGTCTCTTCAATACGGTATAGCCCCAGATATTGATCTTTCATTCTCACTTTATGGTGAAAAGGCGAACCTGGTGTGTTTGATTTTCACCGCATATGATTTAGGCAATGTAATCCACATGAGTATTTCATGGAACGAGAACCGACCGTGATAGAAAGAGGATTTTAGGTATTATTGTGGCCCATCCTTCATTATGACTGGTTGAGAAATGAAACCTGAGCACACTAACTACCAAAAAATTACTTTAACCACAACTGTCATCAACCACCCCCGTTCTTCTGCAGACTGTGCTATGATGAACATCTTTGGCAACTTGTCCGGCAAGATATCCGTGATAGTCATTTAAATGATCGATGGACCGCATCGATTCTGTCCTTGGCTCGTGCTGTTTGTCAGTTGGTTGTGTTCGATTTGCGTTCAGCCGGGGCCCGAATTCCGTCCACTTCGGAGACGGATAAACCCAATCCAGAGTCAGCGGACAATTCAAATCAGACATCCGTTCGACCACGAACTGTCTATTCCCCGATGGATATTCGACACTATGTGCATGTGAAGAAAGTAAGTTACCTGGTTGAGGTGTTTTTCCTTCTGTTTTTGCTACTAGTGATGGTGGTGGATACTGTATCTAGGGTCCACACTGGCTAAGTGTTTTCACCTTCATGTTGAAATCGATAGGTCCAAGCTGTGCATTTACATAAAAGTAAATTTATAAGCTGAATAAATAAGATCATCTTTGTAGGTCAGCACTGATTTTCGGTTTTGTTTACTCAACCAAATCTGTTAACGTACAAAAACTCACCTTGGCAAAGAGTATTTGCAAGTATATCGAAATTCGGTGGAATTTGGTTGTCTTTACGCACAAGGGGGAGGGGTGCCCACTGGAACAAGTGCTCTATCTTCATGGATTACGTTGGTTGGGGCAGGTTTTACGCATACCATCAAATAGATTGTCATGGCGCGCGTCGTTCACCGATAGACGGAAAGAAAGCAAGGGGTGGTCAAACCAAGACCTGGCATGAGGATATGAAAACCCTGACCGGGTAAGTTGCACATATCGGTCGCGTTAGACCTCCTGGATGGGAATTTCGGGATCAGCGTTACTAATTGTCAGAGACATTAAGTAATTTCATTGTACCGAGAACAGGGGCGCACGTGCAGCCACAGTTTTCTTGAATTATATACGTTCATTTTGACACTGTTTGCAACATTCTAAACTTTCCTCGACTTCTTCATCCAGATAAGCAACCAGAAGACAGCACCTGAAGCCGCCTCACGGAAGTTCATGGCTAGTGGCTGTAAAAAGTGAAACTTTAGTGAACACAGAGGGGAAGAGGGAGGGTTTTGGAGGTGCGGCGGTTCAAGTATCTGTCAATGATGTGCACCACCACTTCGCTTCAATACCAATCAGCTTTACTTTCGCGTGGCTCAATACCATGAGCATTCCAGTAGGAATGTATGTGGTACCTTACTCAAAGCCTCAGATCCCAACTTTCCGGGTACGTTCTTTGTCGTCGTCAGTAGCATAGTGCTCACGCAAAATGGATCGCTGCGGCCATTTCAGGTTGTTTGGTCGTCACTTTTGAGCATCGATCATGCTATTCTGGGTTAGGGTCATAAGTAATTCCGCCCTCTGTGATGATTTGTAGCCGGAATGAAAAAGCTGTCCTGTGCTCGTAAGGCTCTGTCGTATTTCACGGTACCGGATCCAAATTTGGAACAGATGTCTTTGAAGAAACTGGGCGTCTTGCTCATACTATTAGATCTCTATAGGAATGTTTGGATTAGCCACAACAAGAGAAACCACAAAAGAAATTTTTGCCGCACTATTTAGGATGCGTTGATATTGCGCGTTGGATATCTTTCTAAAATTTGAGTTCAGTGTACCCTGGAAGTCAAAGGTTCGTTGGTATGCCGTGACTCTATCGTCGTATTAGATGAATAGGGTGATTTGTTATTAACATGAGATTGAAACTGTTTTGAAAACGGTTCAGTCCGTTCCCTGAACAGGTAATGATTTCTACTTAAGATATCCCTACAACTCCTCTGGTAGGTTATTGGTTGAACGTTGTTCCTATACTCCCTCGATTTTATCCTAAAATTGTTTGTATAATCATAGGAATTAAAGATGATCTTCATAACACTTGATTACGCCTTTTTGACATATCTTCTACGGTTATCAATTTATATTCATCCAAGATGTTAGACACTACCGGGGCAGAATGTGAGATCTTTCCGGGCACAATATTCACTAAACGGCCCACACATCGGTTTATGCCCACAATGTTGCATTACCCACGAATTTTACTCCTGGCCTGTTCCATCGAATATCAACGCACACTGACAAAAATGACATGGCTCGAGTCGCAAATTATGCAGGTACGTCTCTCATCTACTCGTTCGATATTTTGATTTTTTTTTCACACGGATTTGCTTGATTGATCTATATGCGATTCTTCATTCGGATTCGGTCTATGGAATTTCACCGTGAGAAAACCACACTGGGCAATTCCTATTGTCTGCACACATTGCTGCCATCCACCGTAAAACTGGTTTATCGTGCTCACTCTACATTGACCGTTTTTGATGTTCTGACTTATTCTGGTAATCTCACAATGTGTTCGCTCGGGCGACAATCGCCATGTGTGTCATAACTGAGCTCGGTCGTTTCCTTTCTTTCATTACTTAGACTTCTCGTCGTCTGCCTGTTCTAGTCCAGACTGATCAGTCTATTCTTCCTGGTGCTGCTCAGCTGAAACGATACACGGAAGCAGTCGTTTGACCCGTATCATTCGGTGCGCAAATTTGCTTTCCCTCAAGGATGTGCTTAAACCCAACCACTTCTGATGTTTGTTTCGATAATTGAAAACCAAGTCGGTCTCCTGAAAAGACGTCACATCTTTAATCTCCTTCGTTTTTATTCGTGTTCACGTTTCTATATTGATGTTTGACTGATTCAAATTCATTGTTGGTTTTGGTACCGCTCATGACAACCCACATTCTCAGCTTGTTGTGTTATCGGCAATCGGCTCAATGTGGCCCTCGATCTTCCTCCATCTTCACTTCAACCGAAAATGACCAACCAGGTCGTGGCTCGTGTTCAATGCAGCAGAATGTTCACAAATGCTTTAGAAGCGTCTCCAGAGTTTGTCTAATGTGTGTTTAGGTGCAATAGGTGAGATGAGAGAATGTTGTGAATAGTGGCAGTGTGTATAATATATATGCTCACTTTTCAAATTTGCTGAGTTTCGTATTCGGCTCACTGGAGGAAAATAAACAAAAACGGAGTACTTGAATGTGACAGTGGCAGTAACTTTACGGGTAGGAATAGACTAAATTGATGCCCCTCATATTAATCAAACTATACGGTAAAAGTCGATTATATTCTAGGTCCTATGCTAATCATGATTGCCGTATACTGGATTTTATGAATTCTCCGCTTTTAAATCGTGGTTCTATCTGACGATGTCACTTGTCATCGAGCCTGTTCACAATTTCACCCGTCTAACACGTTGATGACACTCCCTTTCTACCATCGGAATCTCCCTCCGGTCGACCCGCATCAGGAAGAGGAATATCTATCCCATTGTGTGAGCAAACTACTCTGTCTCCGACCCAAACTGATCTTTGTTGGAGGCGGTGTCAGTCATGCGGCCCAAATGTTCTTGCTTAAAGCCGGTGTGACCTTGTTCTCGAATGTGAAACAGGCAAGTGTTTGTTTGTGCCAAACAAACCGATTCTTTTTTTGAGAAATGCATTCACAATGCTTGGCCATTTAATCCGAAAATATATTGACTCAACAAATAATAATAATAACAAATGAGTGAGTGATTGCTGGTTGAAGTTGTTCACTTTACTAATACATGTCACGTCGAGCGATGTTCGCCGGGGCAGGCAGTGGATGGAAGATAGCCAAGGATGGTCAAACTAAGACCCGGTAAGAGGGTATGAGATACCTGACCAGAAGTTTGGGTCACTATAGGTCCCGTTAGGTTCCATGGATGGGGACCTCGCAACGATTGTAATCGATGGTTAGAGACACTGAGTGATATAACTGATTGTCGTAAACAGTGCAACCTTAGTCCACTGAAATTCCCAATTTTCTCTACAATTGCACTTTCAACCTTCCTGTCATTCTCCTACTGTTTATTAGAATAATGGATAGCCAAAAGATGGCAACCAAAACCGGCGCACGATAGTGCATGGTTAATGATTGTTCAAACTGAAAACTGAAACTGACTCTACCAATCATACTATGCACACGACCAGTTCAAAGTATAAAGGGTTTCTGACCGATGCACTTATATGAGTTTCTTGTTACAGTCTACGGAAAGGTCAAATAATAATAATATTAGCAATACTCGTCAAACGGAAGCGTTTGCATATTTTTCGTTGAGCTAGTCATGCCACTGAGGTGCCTAGCGGACTCAACACGCAGCTGTTTGATCCTTGTTTGAATTCATCACACGTATGACTAGTTCCAGTCCAGATTCTCCTGCTCTACACTATTTGGCATGGTTATCAGTGAGTTGGAACTCGCAAACATGCCACTGGTTCATGACTTGATGACAGCCATGCAATTCAATTCATTGTCTATAATGTGCGTGCGCTAGTCCGGAACGTTCCGATCGCCATTCCCGTGAATTAATAGACCGCTTTCCTGTCTCACAACTTACCAACCACTTAGTTCATTTCGAGGCTTCACTCGGTTCACCATTCTTAGTTTATTTCCCGAATAGTTTATCCCCGTGTCTGTGAGTTTCTTCCCCTCTACTATTCATCACAATTCAATTGATCACCTAAAGAACAGACTACTTTTATGACACTTTAGGGTATCACACTCCCCATTCGCAGATCTTCTGTTAGTGACGGATCACTTGTGTGAGTACTCAATCTCATATTGGGGAGAATATGTTACTCGACTTTGTGGTTACAACAAAAGCATAGTTCGTCGGAATTTGTGAGAATAAAGAAGAAAAACTCGGGATTAATCAGTAAAGCCATGCAGTTGCCAAGGCAGAGCTGCATGTTACTGGGGGAGGCACCAGGTTGTGGATGGGGGAGGGGGAACAATTACCAAATTGGTGGCTAATCTTAGATAAGCTGAGCCTCTTTATTACACATATTTTTGTGATGAATAATAGACGGGTTGGACCCCATAGTAACGGAAGCCGGTAACCTAAGCCCCGAGAGTTAGAGTGGCGAACCACATAAGGTTGCTCTATTTTTGGCGGGGTTTAAAACCGGACGACAGCAAAACTGCCTTCCATCAAATTTGAGTGGCGGTGGCGGGCTTCGAACCTGGGACCATAGGGTACAAGGTATTCTCAATAGGGTTCAACGACTTGGTCACTGGGCGGAATACTTCAGCGAACAATTCACTTGGTCTGGCCCTAACCAGGTTACTTCATCTGTAACTGAAGTCCCATGGGCAGTGCAGTGCGACTCTCCAGTAGAAGCAAAAGTTCGGTCTTGCAGTCAAGCTCTGTAGTGAGGAAAGGCAGAAGGACCGGATGGGCTCCCTCCCACTTTTTCAAGATAGAGGATGCTAACCTCGTACGCTCAATTACTACCCTACTGCACAACTTTTGTACGCAAGAGCACATTCCTTCATCTTGGGGCGGATCACTGATCGTTCCCATTTTGAAGAACGGATACCGCAACGATTTCGAAAGCCACCGCGGGATCAGTTTGATCCCGATCTTCACTAAAAAGCTAGCCTCGGCCGTAATTCGATGTCTGAATCCTTTAAGAGAGATCAACATCCGTGAACAGCAAACCGGATTCCGGCCTGGCCGTGGATGTATTGATCAAACGTTTACGTTGCGTCAGGTCCTGGGGCTTCATCACACTCACCGTCGATCAACGACCGCAGTGTTTCTTGACCTGAAACGAGCCTTCCACTCATTTGACCGCGAAGCTTTGTGTGGTTCCTTTCTTCACAAAGGAATGCCCCAGAGGTATGTTGACTTACTGAGGTCACTGTATTCACATACCTCTGGTTGAGTGAGGGTTTACAACAAACTAAGTAGACCGTTCGTCACCAGCAGTGGCGTTCGTCAAGGGTACCTTATTTCACCGTTCCTGTTCAATTTCGTCGTTCAGAAATAATGGAGAACGCACTAAGTGGTCTCCAAAGCGTAGGTATTTAATTGACAGCTGGAGAAATGCTGTGCGATGTGGTCTACACCAATAATATTATCTGTCTGTTCGAAGAGGCGCAAAGCGCACTTGATAGACTAACAAGTGTTGTTGCCACATTCGGCATGTGCTTTGCACATTCAAAGTGCAAAGTGTTACTTCAGGACTGGGTGTCGCCTACTCCCGCTCTGAAACTAAATGGCCAGGAATTAGTTATGTTGGATTGCTTTTCCTACTTGGGTAGTTGCGTGACCGATGGTGGAAACGTAGCAAAGGAGATAACCGCCCGCATTTCTAAGTCCCGATCAGCGTACTCAGGATTAAACACCTTTGGCGTAGATGCGATGTTTGACTGAAGTTGAAGGATCGTCTTTATAGTGCTACCGTTCGTTCAGTTCTGCTTCATGGTTGTGAGACCTTGAATTTGCGACTAGAAGATATCCGTCGACTGGGAGTTTTCGATTATCGGTGTTTACTTCGTATAGCCCACGTGGGATGAAGCTAACGGGTTAGTACTCTGGAGGTTTTGGAGTTTATCGGGTATAAACATGCTAACACATCGAATTTAGACTATTAGACTTCGCTGGCTAGAGCACGTATCGCGTATGCCCAGCTACCGTCTACTACGTCGCGCCTTATTCGCCGTATCCGCTCTGGGCTGTAGGAAACCCCGCGGAGAAGGACGTGGAGACGAGGCACGAAGAAATGCACAGAGCTATTAGGTAGAGTAGTTGTGGTCCGAAAGACTTTGCGACTGGTAGATTGTAAACATTGAACGATATGACAGCGTACCGATTTCTGTGGCTTTCTTGTCATTTATAATCAGGCCAGCATGCCTGAAACGGTATATATGCAGAGCTGGGTTGTGTACTCTGTGTGTTGATCATAGACGTTCACCTTCTTCCCCTTCCTCAAAGTAGGTCTAGTCCCTGTCCACCTTGAATTCTACCAATAACCTCGTATGCGTTGCGAGTTTCTCAACGACCAATGACGTTCGCTTCACTGTATTTTCCTGTACGATGATGACGATGAAGGTCCAAAGCATTTCGGTGACAGCGACTAAATCACTGCACCACCACTGAATAGTCGAGCACAGGTTAATAGTGGAAGCCTCAGAGGACGTGGTGGGTTTT